CTGGCAGGTTTCGAGTAAAGGCGGGGCTTTGGCAGCATGGCGAAAATCACCATCACGCCATGGAAATACGTTTGCCTCTCATTTCTTCAGTTATTGTGATAGCGCTACGAAACTTCTTGTAAGTGATCCTTGTCTGACCCCCAAGAGACAAACATAGCTGAAATTTGTGGGCGTGGCCTATTTTCTTAAATAGCGCCCCCTAGGACCATTTAAACTAATAGCCCCAAGCCATGCTTTGACTGAAGATTACGAAATTTGGTACACTAATGTGGGGTCTCAGGACCTACAAAAAAGTCTCTTGGAGCCAAGCGTAAAGTCGCACAGGAAGTCAGCCATTTTGGTCCAAGTACGCGATTTAGTGGTTTTCGCACACGTTGTTTGGAGAGTGATGCTCCGTCGCCCTTTTCACCAATCACTTTCAAACTTCTACTATATACTCTTAAGACGTAGGGGAAAAAATTCAACCGTCGCATTTTTCAAAAGTTGAAAGGTGTGGGCGTGGCTAAGTCTCAAACTTTGACCTTTCGCCATTACTTTACTTGACTTAATAACTCCCATGTGCAAGATCAGATCTTTTTCAAACTTTGTCTGTGTGATCATTGACCATATCTGTAAAAAATGACAATGTGGACAGCTGACATCACCTAAGCCCCGCCCCCTGACCACAGGAAGTCTATTTTTTTATGCTGAAATGCCCATATTTGTCCCCTCTAATTTAGTCAACAAGACACCAAGGTCATGCACTGTCTTCATGATGCTGTATTGACCATTCAGATCTGATAGCTTTCCAGAAAGGGAAGGGCTTTGATGCCATGGCGAATTCTGGCGTAACGCCGCACCCTTACAATTCAATTTAATGGTGAGCTCAGAGGGGATGCTGAGTAAGGGTGAGGTGCGGACTAGGAGGCCATTTGCGGTTTCTAGTGTCGGGGCGGTTGACGTTTCTGTTCTGCCAGACGTGCCCTGGTGCCCCGGGCTGTCGGCCAGGCCGGAGCGGCGCGGAGCTGCGAGGGCCGAACGACGCTGCTTGCAGCTTTAATTAATGATTGTTTTTGAGTTTTTCATGCAGCTGAATATAAAAACAGTTTCCTACACCTATTTCCTGTGTTAGCTTCTGATAGAAAATATATGGTGAAATGCTAGGATTTGAAAATCCTCACGCTGTGATGTCACAGTGAATTTGCATTCATGGCCTCATCCATCTTTGATTGTGCCTGCCCACAGGAAAGCTTTTTTCTTTTTTTTTTTCCTTTTTTTTGCAGCGAGGAGAAAGAGAGAACGGACAGTGTGTTGGTGCTAGTGATTTTGCAACAAAGCTGAATGTCTCCTGTTAGCCAATCAGAAGCGAGGTGTGTGCAGTACAGTACGGTGCAGTTGATCACAAAACCTTAATTAACAGACTTTGTGACTCGGTGGGGATCTCTGGAATTATTCTAGACTGGTTTAAATTGTACCTTTCTAACAAAAGTTAGTGTCTGTATAAACCAAATCATGTCAGATTCTACCGATCTGTTTTGTGGGGTACCCCAAGGCTCTGTTTTGGGTTCACTGTTGTATTTACATACACCCTCTTGGACAGATAATTGATTCCTTTCATAATGTCTCTTATCACCTATATGCAGATGATATTCAGCTATACTGCTCCTTTAAGGATTCTGAGTTTTATAAACTGTCTGAATTACTAGAGTGTCTTTCAGCTATCACCAGCTGGCTAGAAGATAACTTCCTTCAGTTAAACTCTGAAAAGACTGAATGTCTGATCATTGCCCCTGAGAGCATGGTTCCCCTGATTAGTCTAAAACTTGGTCATTTATCGTCAAGACAAACTTAAGGAATTTGGGTGTTACTATTGACCAATCAACATCTCTTGAAGGTCACTCAAAAACATTGATCCGAAACTGTTTTTATCACTTAAGAAATATCTCCAAACTGCAAAGGTTGCTGTCAAAACATGAACTTGAAATGGTTATCCATGCCTTTATCTCCTCCCGTCTAGATTACTGTAACACACTTTTCACATGTTTTAACAAAAAAGCACTTGGCTGCCTTCAGTTGGTCCAGAACTCTGCAGCAAGGCTCCTAACTGGGAAAAACAGAAGAGCTCACATCACTCTTATTCTAATGTCTCTGCACTGGTTACCCGTTAACTTTAGAGTTAATTTTAGAATCCTGATTAGAACTGTCAGGGCTCTACATGGTCAAGCTCCTCCCTATATTAATGAACTGTTAAAGCCTTATGCTCCAGCCTAAGCTCTCAGGTCCACACACCAGAACCTTCTAGAAGTTCCAAAGACCAGATATAAAAGTTGAGGTGATTGCTCCTTCCAGACTGTTGCACACCGAATGATCTTCCTTTATCCTTACGCAGCATTGACAATCTGGAAACTTTTAAAAACATTTACAGACCCTTTTATTTAAAGGGGCATTATGGAAGTTTGACAGCCAAAACGTATAGAAATAATATAATTCTTCTTCATACATTCTCCTGCAATGCCCTGGTCCTGTAGAATGAGCCCTGGCATTTTTACTATGATTGCCTGTTTTTCTGTAAAATCACAGAAAAAGAGAGCAGCTCGGGTCGAGCAGGCTGCTTCATGTGTGTTCACGCTCAGGCATAGCCCGTAGCATTTGCTATCCGTAGCTTTAGCAGCAGAGAGTGAGGTAGTGCCAACTCAGCGACTTTGTCGCTGTTCCTAACGCCTAGTGATGAACCTAGCTACGTTTCTGAGGACCCTTAGCTACTTTCTTCTAGATATTTCCTGCAAATTAGCAACAAAATAGCCACTTTTGGTCCAAATCGTTCTTTGACGATGTCACTGGTGCTTTGGTAAGACGTCGGACTCTCGTGCAGAAGATCAGGGTTTGATTCTGGATGTGATCATAGTTTATTTAGAGTTTATTTTTTACATTAATGGTATATTTTTTACAGTAAGATGCCCAAATTTTTATTTGAGACTTGCCGAACAGCATTGAATTCACAGATAAAAAGATGTGGGTTCAACTTTCATTTTGGAACAATTTTTCAAGCAAGGGAAGAGAATGATCTGAGCATGCAGGAAGACTGACCCATCATAAACCTTTGTCGGCTGTGCTGAAGAGAAAGGTACAGAACCAAATTATTTAATTAATTAGCTGCACGTTCTCCTGTCCTCTGTCCTCCGGGCCACACACACACACACACACACACACACACACACAACTGTCTCCACTGTTATTTTCATTAAGGAGTGTGCACGTACAGCATGCGCGCCTCGTGCACGAGCCTACTATTGAAGCTGCCGTTACGCTTTTGGCCTGAGGGGGCAATCGCGAGCATAAAAATTCAAAACTCCGTAAAGTCCCTTTAAAGCTGCTTTTACCTAAACCTTTTATTTTCTTATTTTGAACTCAAATTTTTAATCTTTCATCTTTTTATGAAATTTTATAATTTTATGACAATTTTTTCTGATGTTAATCTAATTCTGTTTTGAAATAATTATGATTTTAAGACTTTGTTTTATTTTCTTTTGATCTATGTGAAGCACTTTGTGATTCTATGGCTGTGATAAGTGCTATATAAATAAAATTTACTTACTTACATATCAATAATAATAATGAGCAGTTGTGCCATGGTGACGATGGCAACGTCGTCGTCGAGAGGAAGTAGAGATTACGCTTTCGGGACCGGGTGAAGGTGTGGTGGTTTGGCCCATCAGAGGTGCAGAGATTCCGCCAACAGGGTCAGGGGAGAAGGAGATGAAGCCGGTTCTGATGGTTGGAACTGAGACTGAATGATGGTTGTGTCTCGGGGCAGATGGAGGAGACGTGGAGGAGGTGGCACGAGCAGTTGGTGGCGGTGAGTTAAGGCCAAAGGTGTCCAGTAGTTTCTGGGCAAAATCCCAGAAAGACACAGTTCTGATTGGGTGTATCTCAAAGTAGTCTGTTGCCCACTGCAGAGCACTGTCTCTCAAACAAAGCACCAGGAAGGAGACCTTGTTGAACTCAGAAGAAGCCATGTCTATGCAATGAGCACAGTCCCGTATAAAATCCTAACAAGTGTCCGGGTCTCCGTGGTACTTGTACATGTACTGGGGTGTCGGGGAGCCTGGAGGTTCTGCTGGGTCCTGTGTTGGTCGGTCCATTCTGTCACGCTGAGAGCAGGAGGTGGTTAGGACCCAGGATGCAGAATACCAGACGACACGAGGCAGGAGCGATTGAGAAAAAGTAAAATCCTTTATTTAGGATGAGTCAAAAAAAAAAACAACAGACAGGAAGCAAAGCTGGGTATCAAGGCACTACAAAAAATCAAAAGCTCATTTAATGAGCAGGAATCTATGGTCACACGAGGGGAACAGAACAATGCTGACAAGGACAATGGACAGTCAAAACACTGAGGGACAAGACAGGTTTTTTAAACACAGAGGGAAGCAATCAGAGGAACAGGTGACAGGTGTGAAGAGTGAGGTCTTGAGGGGAGACAGGTGCCATCAATAAACTAAATGGGGAAAGAACTAGGCAGAGGGGGAGATAAACCATAACCTATAAAACACTAAATAACTAAACCTAAAGACCAAGGGCAAAGATAAACAACTAATGACTAGAGGAGTGAGGAAGACTAATAAAGTGTGGAAGGAACACAAAAGGAGACTAATGCAAACCAATAGGAACTACAGGGGAGTGACTAGGAGGAAACACGAGGGAAGCCTACAGTAGAGAGAGCCGGGGAACACAAGGAGACACATGAGGGGAACGCAGAACATGACGACTAGTCTTCACTCGTCTTCTAGAATCTTCTGGAAATTATCCCAAATTGGCAACAGCCATGAAACTCACAGAACGGCAGTGGGGAAGAAATTTTCTGCTTAGGAAAATAGACAGCAGTATCCAAATATGACCACAGGATGTCATTCTTAATTCTTTCTTGCAGATTGCACCTTTAATGACATCATGCAAGAGATGATGATGATGATGATGATGATGATGATGATGATGATGATGATGACACCTGTCTCACTGTGCAGGGGACACTAATGATAACAAGACAGCAGTGGGACCAGAGGATGTGTCAAAGATGGGTTGTCCCAGTCTTGGGGAACACACTAAGCTGGAGGTAGTCATTGAGGAGTCTTATGAATTCAAGGTAACTCTAAACTGATTTTCTGAAGCTATTTTTATCAACCATGATTAACATAATGCAGAATAGTACCCTAGCTTTTTTGTCTTACAGTATTTTCTCTTTGACATGTATTACTTATTTACCCCAGCCAGGGATGTGTGATAAATTATGATGATGAATTATGAAATGTGCTCACGTTGTCTCTGCTAAATGTAGCTGTTCACTCTACTTTTTTTTCCAATCATCAGCCAAGGAAATCAGTATTGTATAAATCTGCTGTAATTATTTACAGAAAAAACTTCATGACTTTTCATTTTATGAGACAAATTAAAAATATGAACTGTCTACATGCATAAAACATAGATACTGTTTCTCCTAATCTTTCAAAAGGATTATTTCATGAATTAATAAAGAAGTATCACCATCCACTCATTTCCATCTGCTTATCTAAGGTCAGGTCACCAAGACAACAGATACAACAAGAGGGAAACCTAGACTTCCAAATCACTAGTGACACTCTAGCTCCTCCAGGGGCATCCTTGAGTATTCCCAGGCTTGAGAGGACATAAGCAATCTCTTCATCTAATCCTGATCCGGCCCCAGCACCTTGTGCGCTTGGGAAACATCTGGAAGAAGGCTACAAGGAGTGAAAGTTGTCAGCTACCCAATCCACCAAACTGACTCATTGTGTTGAGGAGGATCAACTGGCTGTTCTACTATGACCTCCTTTCAGATGACACAGCTCTGCATCTTACTTCTAAGGCTGAGTTCACCCTATCTCACTTGTGATCAAGACCCCAAGACAGGAAGAGCAGGCAATTGCCCCAGAGGGCGGAAAAACTTAGAAGTCAGAACTACGGCGGGGGTGAGACATTAAAAAGCTGTCGTTTGACTGCTTAGCCAGAGACTGGCTGTATATTTCTTTGTCTAGTCGTTGCGTAGGGCCCCATGACAACGTTGCAAAGTAACCACATCATCTACAAAAACCAGAGAGGAGATCCTTAAGTTCTCAAACCAGACACCCTCCTCTCTGTGACAACTCTTTGAGATCCTGTTCCAAAACACCACATACAGGATCTGGGACAAGGGGACAAGTCCAACCTCACTGGGGACAACCTTAGTGCAAATGTTATTCCATGGTCTGGGTTGTGCTTCTCCTGAATTTAAGGTTAAAAGGCTTCCTTTGATCCTATAGGTAACGTTTTTCAGGGAAGCTGAGAAGCATGGCAGCTGAAATCCTCCGTTGATCCTCCTTTTTAATAATTATTTTCACCATTTCCCTAGTCGTCCACTTCTCAGGATGGTGTCTACCAAGTATCAATGTTTTTCTTGACTTCCTTCACCCTCTTGTTTGCTTTTCAGTCTCCTCTTCCAACTGAACACATTGATATCACCATGACCTCACCCCTGTTACACCATACAGCCACATGATGTGTTTTCCATCAGTTTAATGTAACAATCCTCTTTGAGGGTAAGCTGATGCCGAGGCATAAATTAGATGTTGTGCTGCTAGAAGTCAATTTGATCACATTTAAGCTGCAAAGTGATACTGCACTGAGACTGTTCCACTTCCTGTGAAGAAGCTCCACACTGGAGAAAAGCCAACCCCACCTCACCCCATACCAAATCTGGTTTTGTGACTCACTGTGCATCACAGCAGGACCAGAGTTTAATAATACCTCAAGTCACCCCATCATCATCCCCCACGTCACCGATTATACTGATTATCTCACATCTGTCTTCTCCAGAGCACAGTGGACAAGCTGATCAAGAAAACCAACCTGGCCCTGGTGGTGGGGAGCAGCAGCTGGAGGGAGCAGTTCGTCAGTGCCGTCACCGTCAGTGCAGGTGAGCCGCTCTGTCCTGCAACGTTTCAACTGTTTGTCCCCCCGACCCCCGACATGCTGTTTAGAGCTGCCCAAAAGCACGCCTTTAAGATACATGTTCATTAAAATCCCAGTTAAACTTTTATAACGTTTGGTAGTTTAGGGTTTATTTGCTGCATCTGCTCGTTCCAAACATGATTAAAAATGCATAACAGGCTGAATTCCTTATGAGGCTCACTATTAAAGCTAAAGTGGCGAGCTCTGCACGAACAGTTAATGGCTTTTAAAGAGTTTTAACTTTGGTGTTTATAAAGTTGTTTGTTTGCATTTATAAATATACTGAATATTTGGTGTTTTTTTCAGTGTTCTCATTTGAACTGTTATATCATATAAACATAAATAAAATATATATTTGACCCTTTTATCATACATACATACATCCATTGTCTGGACGCACGGGTCCCTGGGGTGTGTGTGTGTGGGGTGGGGTGGGGGGGTGGGGGTGCAGTCCAAACACACACACACTCACACCTAAGAACAATTTGGACAGACCAATCAACCTAACAGTCATGTTTTTGGACTGCGGGAGGAAGCCGAAGTACCCGGAGAGAACCCACACATGCACAGGGAGAACATGCAAACTCCATGCAGAAAGATCCCGGGCTGGGAAGCGAACCCAGGACCTTCTCGCTGCAAGGCATCAGCTCTAACCACTGCGCCACTGCGCAGCCACCCTTTTATCAGTGACCCTGACATATAGTCATCTTTATTTTTACAGAATGAATGTAATGAACACGAAATCTGCTTGTTATCCTGTAGAGTAGACCCACTGCAGCTTTACTGGTGCACAGTCAGTGGCTTGTTTTCCTCAGTTTGCTGCCATCTACTGTTGTGCAAACCTGGCATCAAAATAACTTTGGTTTATTTTGTTTATTCTCGTTTAAGTTCTGTATTATGAAGCGCTTATTGTTATAAAGCACCATTTTCTGCATCAACTTGGTTTTAAGAGTTTCTTACAATATTTATTCCTGTAAAATATCAATTTCAGACACAAAAATTAGATAAAACCACGAAACAGAAAGAAGTCACATAATCCAAGTTCTCACATTCTAGTATGTCCTAGTCACAAAATGCTGATTTGCAATAAAAATATTGAAAAGTAAAGAAAAAGATGTAATCTTACAATAGATTTGTGCTCTTTTTCATAGTGGGACTTTATCCATTTTTCGTTGTTTCCCTGCCAAAGATTCAAACCAGCTACCAATATCTGTTCATTCATATTTCTTATATTTATTTAATAATACCAGGGAAACAATGCTGCTCGTATATTAGTGACATATGACGAGGAAGGTTCCTCCTCTGAGACACAATCTTCTCAGCTGCTGCAGACCTTACTTACACAAGCCTCCAGTCAGACTGAGGTTGTTATCTCACCTTTGGTTCATTTTGATTCTTGAGGTAGATGAACTCCAGCAGCAGAAGACCACACCAAGTGTCTGTCATGACTGCTAATAACAGGAAAGTGAGGCTACAATTCAGACAGGATCAGCAGAACTGGACCAGAAGAGACTGGAAACACCTGCAGTCAACCTCAGCATTCCTATGGTCGAGTCAGAATTTAGTGTTATGCCATCAACATGAATGCATGGATTTATCCTGCCTTGTATCAACGCTTCTGTCTGCTGCTGGTGGGGTAATGGTGTAGGGGAAATGTTCTTGATCCGCTTGGGGCCCCTCATACCACCTGAACCTGGTTTAACCACCACAGCCCATCTGAGTATTGTTGCTGACCATGACCATCCCTTAAAGGTGTGGTTGACTGAAAAACTTGTCTTAATCATTATTTATGATTATAATCAGTCACTTTAAGTTCTCATGCAGGCTGAACATGAAACCAGTCCCCTAGACCGGGGTCGGCAACCCGCGGCTCTGGAGCCGCATGCGGCTCTTCCATCCATCTGATGCGGCTCTCTGTGCTTGTAAAATAATGAATGGATAATTAAATAAAATGCTTTATATTTTACTGCATAAATTTTACATCTGTAAGCCAATTCTAAATGTAAAGATTGTCTGCGTAAACCTGAACAGTTCCAACCCGGTCTTACTGTGAGACCGGGTTGACGGGTCACGCTTGTGCATAATCATATAGGCGCATTCTGAGCTGACGAGGATGTGAGATTCTGGGATTCTCCTCAGACGGCTCCTGGATGTGTCGCCACATTGGAGACAGGAACAAGCGCTAGTCAGCCAAAGTTTCATAATCAGGGAACATTTTCTAAGTGACAAGTCACGCTGCAGTCGGAGGAATCTTCCTGCATGCGCTCTGGTTCGCGCTCCAAGCCCCTCTCCACAACTTCAGCTCACTGTGCACCGTACGTACGCGCTGACAGTGAGCTGCGCTGAGCAGTGTCCAGCTCAGATGTTCAGATGGGAATCTTTTCTTGAGTGATTTAGCTACATCTGCGATGTGCGAAACGAATAAAATGTCAGTTCGTCCGCATGCGTCGGGGTAATTCTTTCTATTCTTTCTCCGTCAAAATAAACGGTCAAATACGGGAACTGTCTGGTCAACACAAGCCCTGCTTTTAACTGTTCTGTTTTCTTGTGAAAATTGTTGCAAAGAGATATAATTTAACTTGATTACCACCAGAGCCAGGCACACCGATCCGTTATCTCCGTCACTGTAAATGAGGGAAAAACAAATTGATCCGATCCTTTTCTGACCTTCCCCACCTACAAAGTTTAATTACAACAATCAAACGTGACAGAGCCTGGATTTGTATTCTGAACAGTCTAAAGATGTTTTAAAAAGAAACGTATGACAAAAGTGGCACCTGCTCAGTAAAACCACCAACAGGGTGAAAAATATCTAAATATTGTAGGCAGAGACGGGCTACAACTTCTGGATCCACTTTACATAAATTGTTTTATTGATTATCGTCTTTTGAAAGATAACTTTGACGTACACGAGCGACCGATACTGGCTGCTGTCACCTGTTGTGATTGGTTAAAGCAGCTCTCTGCTGTCTGAGGGTAGGCCCCGCCCACAACGCCGCAGCTGCTGTGGCTCCCAGTGTTTTCTTTACTGTGGGAAACGGGTAATAATGGCTCTTTGATGGGAACAGGTTGCCGACCCCTGCCCTAGCCCTATCTTCAGCATTAGCTTCTGATAGAAAATAGACGGTTTTGAATTTGAAAATCCTCACAAATCTGTGTCACACTGTGAATTAACATTCATGGCCTCGCCCATCTTGGCTCACACCTGCCTAGAAGAAGGCTTTTTTTTGCTGCAAGGAGAGAGAACAGAGAGTGTGTTGGTGATTGTGACTTTGCAACATTGGTGAACGTATTCTGCTAGCCAATCAGAAGCGAGGTGTGTGTATATCATTAATAATAATGAGTAATCCTGCTGCTTTAAGCCCTCCTCTGCACTAGCAGACTTCTGCATTTCAGAACAGGAGCATCGTAGCTTTATTTTTTTTTTTGACTCCTAAGGCATTGATTTTCACTAGAGAATACTGCAAATGTATTGAATAAACAAGTAAATCACTCCTTTAATGACCGCATAGACCCATCTTCTTATGGTTACTTCCACCATGTCACAAAGAGCTGATCATCTGTAACTGGTTTCTTGAACATGACCAGGAGTTCACTGGCCTCCAACAGCCTTCGCTGTGACCTGATCTCAGTCCAGTCCAGAACCTTTGGGATGTCGTGGTATCATGTGAAGAACCTCTAAGGAATGCCTTGTTGAAGCTATGGAATGAAGAATTGAGGCAGTTCTGAAGACAAAAAGACAATGCACACCTATTAAAACGGCTGATGATTTTATATAATAAGATATAAAGAATTATAAAGTCATGTTTTGTTCATAACTAGTCTTAAAATCTGTTGCTGAAGCATAGTAGAGCAGGTTGTTACTGTTATTGTGGCTGTAGAACAGAACAACCATAGGACGGCTGTTGTGGTTGGGCCTGTGGTGTTCACAGTGATGTATTCAGGTGAGAGACTCACTCTGTGTGTGTGTGTGTGTGTGTGTGTGTGTGTGTGTGTGTGTGTGTGTGTGTGTGTGTGTGTGTGTGTGTGTGTGTGTGCGTGTGTGCGTGCGTGCGTGCGTGCGTGCGTGCGTGTGTGTGTTCAGTAAATTGACATAATTGCAGTTGCTGAGTTTTATATTTAAGCCGCCACAACGACAACTTATTAGAAACACGTCAGTTCCATCTGCTTCAAATCCTATTTAGCTGAGCAATGATTTTCTATTACATTAACAGGGACAGGAAAAAAGTCGCTAACGTGCAAAAGCAATTTTAAAACTCAGAGACCACAACTAAAAAAATACTGAGAGGAGAGGATAATTTTCATGGCCACGGATTCATCCAGCACATCCAGCCAGAGCAGCTGCAGCTTTGTATTAAAAAAAGAGCAGTAAATGTGAAGTGTGGCATTATGTTTCAGTTATGTTGCATTGGCATCGCTTTTTGTAATCTGGAATGTGTCATTATTGGTCTGAGCCACGAGCTTACAACATCTGTCGTCAAAATAAGTAGAGAACACGTTATTAAAGCTAAATTACAGGAAGTCAGAGGCTCCATAAGCTGGATCCGTTAAAACAAAGTTTTATATATTTTGCTTTCCTTGTGTCTGTCTTTGCCAGGCGATGACGACGAGGAGGAAAGCGGCGAAGAACGACTACCATCCTGCTTTGATTACATCATGCACTTCCTGACCGTTTTCTGGAAAGTCCTTTTTGCTTTTGTCCCGCCGACTGAATACTGGAACGGCTGGGCCTGCTTCTTTGTCTCCATTTCCCTCATTGGTGTTCTGACAGCCGTGACCGGGGACTTGGCCTCACATTTCGGCTGCACGGTGGGTCTGAAAGACTCGGTTACAGCGGTGGTGTTCGTGGCCCTCGGCACCTCTGTCCCAGGTGGGTGTTTGTGGTGATAATCAGGTGTATTAGACCTGCGTTGTGGTCCCTCTGGGCTCTGAAGCAGCTGCTCGAGGAGACTTGTGTAACCTCTTCCTCCCATTGAGCTGTCAGGGAAAATATCTCCAACACTGCTGCCTTGCACATTAACAAGGTGTAAACAAAGAAAAACAGTTTTGCTTGTTCCTGTCGGCTTGTGTTCCCATTTTTCTGTCATGAGCACCGCCACTGTGAAGCGCAAAGTATCTAAATTAGTCTTTGACTCCTCACTTTCTTCTTAAAGATGGCCGATGCATAGAAATATATGAACTAGACAGAAATATTGATTATGTTTTAAGCCACACACTGTGATGGGATTGGCCAGAATTTTCCAATTTATTTAGATCTTTAAATGTTAATAAAAAAAATAACACAATAACTGAGTAATTGTTGCAATTTTTGTTATGTAGCATTTCAAAGGTATTAACTCGTTCGCTGCCAGCCGTTTCCTGATCGGTAAAGCCCAGCGCTGCCGGCATTTCTCACAAGCCCCCACAATGCAGCTCAAAAATTGAAGCAATCCCGGAAGTACTAAAAATTGCAGTTCCACCCTCATCCGCTGGGGGCTGGTGTCAGAAGCGAGCAAATCCTCATTGACTCCCATGTTAAAAATACCAATTTCACAGCAGAAATAAACATTTTTACAGCCTGGTACCAAAACATGTATTTGGTTTAAATGATCTAGTTTACACTCATGACAACTCTGAGGGGGGTGAATCTTTTTCTCACTCTTCTGTTTAAGTGTATTAAAAGTCTAAAATTCTGTATAATTAATGAGCATCCGACCCACGTGACCGCAGAGCTAGCTCCGGGGAAAGGCCTCAGTAGAGCCTCGGCCTCACCTGAAAACTGTTCGGTCATTTTCAGTCTCTCAACTTAGACCATTAGTTGTAGCGTTTGTGCGTTCTTTTTTGGATATTTTTTGTGCAATTGTTGGACAAAATGACTTGCTGTGACATTAATTGCACTAATAGAGCATCCAAGGAGTCTCCACTTCATTTTTTTCGGTAAGTAAAATTATATTTATGTATTTTAGGTCACTGCCGAGCTGAGCTTAGATTTTAACATGCAGTGTTTAACCATGAAATTTAAATGTAATAGGGTAAAACCCAGTACATTTAACATAATGCTGCACTTTAGAAAATGGGTTGAAATATAACATGTTGGTGGATCTGGGTTCCGACTATCGGCTTGTGGAGCTCTCGGGAGACCGATGTTTTCCACCCGTTCTCCCCGCAGCTCGGCGCATCTCTGTTTGATCGCGGCTTCTGTCTGCTGCGCAGGCTGCCGGCTTGTGGAGCTCTGGGATGGAAACCTTTCCGCCCGGTTCTCCCCAGCGGCAGCTCTGTGCATCTCAGATCACAGTGGCGCTTGTCTGCTGTGCGGCTGCCGGCTTATGGAGCTCTTGGGAGACCTCTGTGTTCCACCCGGTTTTACCCAGCGGTCAGCCCGGCGTTTCTGACTCAGAAGCTCTGGTGTTGTGCACAGTTAACTCCGGTTGCTACCTCCGTTAGCTTAGCTCCCACCTCCGCGTTAGCTTTGGGTTAGCTTCAGGTTAGCTTGTAGCTAGTTTGACCGGGTGTCGTCAGTTGATCCCAGCCTTACAGCCCCACTCTCAGCTCCACCTCTCTTCCCTTTTGTGGAATTGTCTGTGCTTGACGGAACCTGTGACACGGTCAAAATAGCGGTGGTGGCCACCTCCCATTTGTCTTCAAAAACATGTTATTGGAGTCTATGGAAAACCATTGTCCAATATTTATATGTCGATGGTTTCTCGCCGTTTTAACAGTTTTTCTAAGAGTCACAGAACGTTGCGCGCTAGCATGATGTTGACGCCAAAACAACCAAAACAAAGTGGAGTCTCATCAGGAAGAATCCGCGTGTTTCAAGCATTATCCGTTCTTTCATAATCTGTTGTTGAATTGTGATCGGCAGAAGCTTTTCCGGTTCGCGCCTCACTTTTTTTTACAGTAACGGCCCAAAACGATTTCCTAACACATGGATTTTCTGCTTCCTGATCACGTGACGTGTGACGTATGCAGAAGAAGATCGGCTTTAGAGCTGAGATGTTTGTTCTCACTGTGCGGGGGCTCGTTCTGATACCCACACAGTAAAAAAAAAAATGCAAATCATCGTCATTGCCAGTTGGATTTAAAATGACGACTTTAGTCGTCAATGGCAGTGAATGAGTTAATGAAAATAACCTTCCACTTGCAGTTCTTATATCCCCATTACGGGGCAGAAGACATGTGTAGGACAGAACAAAATACGATCTATTTAGGAAAGTACTAGTCCTGCTAAAGTGTTAGAGACACGAATAGTCGCCTTAACCTTCAAAATATTTAACTTATTCCAACTTAGTATGAAAGTTTTTTGGGAGAATCTGAACATCTTTGGCCCAATTCCAGACCAGTGAGAAGTGATTTCATGCATCCCTCAAATAGCATTTCTTGAACTGGTGGGCTGTTGATGTGAATTGACAGTTTTTTTTATATTTGTATGTTCAGGGAACTTTTTTTGAGTAATACAAATATAAAAATATTCCTATTAATGGCTGTTTTGTGGCCCTCAAACACATTTAAGGTGATGATTTGGCCCTTGTCTTAAAAAGTTTAGACATCCTTTTAAAACCAGCATGATGATAATCTTCAGCAACATTTATTGACTTTCATTTTTATACTTTCACTTATGTCACATGATAAATTAGGCATAGTCATTCCTTTACCTTGCCAGTGAGTAAAAAATAATGGAAAAATGTGACCCCCCTCTCCCATCTTTTGCTACGTTGGTCAGTTTAGTGAATCAGAGGGTTTGTAGATGGCACATTTGTGTTGCCAACAGCCAGCAATATTTTCAGGAAACACAAAACTGCTGCCTCTAAAAAGAGTGGCCTAGTTGAATTTAGTTCAAGTTTATTTATGTTCGCAAACACTTTTATCCAAAGCAAATTACGATCTAACCCAATAGGTTTGTTTTGATGCCCTTTGGTGGTTAAGCCATAGAACGGTGAAGCAATAATACCATAAGAACAAGATTAAGAATAAGAATTAGAATAAGAATAAGAAAATGACTATGAATGATGGCACTTAACCCAGCCATCTTTTGTAGGACAGTAATTTTTGTAACTTGCATTTGCAATCTTGTTAATTTGGTCACTAACTCTTCTATCTTAGATCGCTCTTTCGCCACAAAAGTCCTCTTTTGTGTTCCCTATATAGGCATTATTGTGATCCACAAATCGATATCCCACTCCCTCTAGCCTTTAATTCATACTTAAATTGTGCATCAATAATAATAATAATAATAATAATAATAATAATAATAACAATAATAATTTTTATTTGAGGGCGCCTTTCTGGAAAATGATGATTTTGATTAGTACAATTTGATATTGCACATATTCTTTCTGTCCCGTGTTTTGATGTAGACAGGGGCCATGTCCTTGAGGATCTGTGGTTATGTTCTTCCATGTGGGATGTTTTGCAAGCTTTGTCGGGTGTCCTCATCCCTATTGAGAGAAGAGTCAGTGCAAATCAATATAAGGTTGTTGTGAACGACCACCGTTATCTGAGATAAAGGATTTATGTCCTGATAGAAGGGCTTTCCCCCATGATAACAATGCTCACATCGATAGGCCGCCAGGGTTCACCGCAGGTTCTGATGGGTTTGATTAGTTGAATTACCCTCAAGGAGAACTGGAGCTGTTCTGGAAGGTGACCAAAACTTTAATTTTCAGGCCTTCTGGAAAAATTTGCAATTGTAGTCCTTGTAGTTGCAGTCTTGTAGTCAAAAAATATGTTTATTATGCCAAAGGTAATGCAAAATAAATACAAAAAATCATTGATATACGAAGAATCTGAGCAGCTCTGACTTTGATGAAATGGGGCAAATTTTAAAAGAAATGTATTGAACTACTAACAAGTACACAACATTTTGAACGGATGAATAGATTTATTTACATAAGTACTAAAAATATACAAAAGAATTCTACATTTATACAAACGGAAAGAGCTGCTAATCATGTAAATGCATTTAAAAATGTTCACGTAGAAGAACTGTTGGTCTGGTGTTGGTTTTATGTAGTTTCACGATCTCTAAAAAGGGAAGACAATATGATGTTTTATTAACAAATTGTAGTCATAAAGAAAACATTTAAGCAGTACGAAACATAAATTTAATTGCAAAACTACTAAACTACTTCCAAAATCTGTGTTAAAGAACAGAATCGAAAAAGAGATCCAATATATTTTGGCCAAGTAGTGTTGCCGTAGTGTGAAATCATCGACAGGCACAGGACCCCGAGCTGATCCGGAAACTACAGAAAACTAGAATTAGAATTGGATTCGCTCTATGAAATTATCTGAAGGACCATCAAAGTCTGAGGAGTCACGCTGAGGTCATGTGCTTTCTGCTCCACAGGTAATCATTTAGCGTATTTTTTTTTAAACTAGCAATGACAATATGTAAAACTACCCTGAAATGTATGTATGTACTGCCCCCTAACTCCAGGAAACTACACACTGCCACTGTAAAAATACTCTTCAACCTGAATGAATCTTTCTGTGACAGACACGTTTGCGAGTAAGGTGGCTGCCATTCAGGATCAGTATGCTGACGCCTCCATCGGGAACGTGACGGGCAGCAACGCGGTGAACGTGTTCCTGGGCATCGGAGTGGCGTGGACCATTGCAGCAACTTACTGGCAAACCAAAGGCAAGGCGTTTGAGGTGAACCCGGGCTCCCTGGCCTTCTCTGTCACCCTCTTTACTGTTATGGCACTAGTGTGTGTGCTGGTGCTGCTCTACCGCCGACGTCCCAGCGTGTCAGGTGGAGAACTTGGGGGCCCACGGACAGCCAAGCTCCTCACCGTCTTCCTGTTCCTGTCCCTCTGGTTCATCTACATCCTGTTGGCCTCCTTGGAGGCCTACTGCCACGTGCCTGGCTTCTGAGACCGAGGGAAAAAGCACAGACGCGACTAGTCTCCTACTTTTCACAGTCTAACGAACATGTTTTCTCTGTTTTTGTCTATTTTCGCAACAGTTTATAACTATTTGTATAATCACTGATAATCTGTTTGATTATGTAACTTTATGGACTTTTGAACTTTGTTACCACTGACGATGCTGTGAAATTTAGCTTTAGCCTCTGAAATTAAGCTTTTCTCAACTTTTATTCTCATGATTAAATTCTGTTACATAGGTCATTTATTAATCATTAATTTGATCTTTAAATGTATCAGCAGTAGAGCCTCGTTGTGCGTTTGGGGGCTCAGAAAGCGCAAAATTGGTGTGCAGTCATCATCACGTGATGAAGTGTAAAGATGGGAAAGGTTTTCTTGTTTTTGTTTCAGATCAACAAATACATTTCAAATTCAATGATCGTCAATAAACACAAAATATCATTTTTAAAAGAAGGTTTAATTTACTAAGGAGAAAGGAATTATTCAAACCAATCAGGATCAGTGTTAAAAGGCAGTTTGTGCCTTGTTAAATCAAGAAGTACTTTGATTAATCACACCATATAAAAGCTGAGTTCTGTTTAACCAGCCACTCCTACTCAGGCCTGATCACTACCAGAGTTTTAGAAACAATAAATGACTTCAACAGAGCATGTCTGGTAACATAAAGCTGGCTAAAAGATCTCAAAAATCAGCACATCCTGCGCTGATCCACTGAAATTCAAGAACTACAGAACCCATAACAGCATTAAAGTACTGCTGTCCTGATTTTGTCATGGTTGGACATTAAAGCTGCATTAGCAAATCTACAGAACAGGCTAGGTTTTGAATTCAAACAACCCTGCGATGCTAAAGCCCCCACAGACCAAAGTCAACTTAAAAAATCCTATTTAGCAATTACCAAAAGGCGTCATTATGACTCCCTAGACTTGGGGGAAAACGTTCTAAGTGTTCCATTACATCTTGTATAGAATTAACACCGCATTGTAGAAAGACAACATACCAACAGGGAAACATGGTGGTGGCAGTGTGATGTTTTGGGGACCTTGATGACTTCTTTAAATTCCCCAAAAATGCTGACAAAATTATGCCTAAAACTATTTTAAACTGAATCTAGTCATGTTTGTCTAATATTGTAATTGGTTTACTGATCCAAAACATTCTAATGTGATCAAAAACAAAGAGAAGTAAAAACAGAAGGACTGTAAGTGAAGTGTAATCATTCATGATTCTTCATATTTTGATGGAAGTTAATAAATAAAGAGATTAAGGTGGTGCATGGGATTACCTTATACAGTATCTGACGTTGATATAGGATGAGAGATTGCGGTAAAAGGTGAAGTGTACTTGTATGATAATATTTAGTAATAAATCTACTCAGTAAATATTCTTTGTATATGATGTATAAGATGAACATTGTACGTTGGCGTTTTGTGGACAATTTTGCATGTGATCAGGTTTCTTGGTAATCTTTTCTAAAGTGGTGTGTGTGTGATATTTTAACATGGATATTGAACTGTTGATGTTTTTCTGAACATGTGGATCACAGCTGGATAATAGTCTCCTCACTGCCTGGTGCCCAGTCCTTCAAAACCCTCTCCATCACTTCCAAATAACCGGCTTTTTAAATGTGAATTTTTTTTCTTATTCTTTTTACAACATTGGTCAAGAAAGCCCACTTCTACTTGTACACAGTCTTTAGGTGAATTTATGAATTTTAGATATGTTTGTTTGTAACTGGTGCACCTTCGCACCTCCTCTCTCTCCGGCACCAAGAACACCTCTTTTTCTCCACTGGAAAGTGCACAGACTTTACATTTGTCACTGTGAACATTTTCCAACACAGTCACTTTTAGAGAAAACAAAGCACAGCAGCGAGAAAAGGGATGTATTTCACACAAGACCTTGGATCTTCATCACAGCAAAATCACCAACCGGTTCATCATCTCACATGAAATGATGTGTTTGAAGATGTGTACAGCATCTCTTGAGAGTGTCTTACTGTTACACAGCGACTGAAGAGTTTATTTCTTATTTTACCTGTCTGTGGAGCCATATTTATTGTAACTGTATTCCAGTAGAGGTATTTATGATCTATTTAATTTTATTGATGTGCACGCTTAATGTACAAAAAGTGGAAATAAATGTTGCTAATTTACGATGTCATGGTGTATTGTTTTCTTACTAACTTTCCCATTTTTATCTGTCCCAAAGGCTGAAACATGATATTGTCATGTATAATCTAATCTGAACACTGGTAAACAATAATCTAACATGATTAGAATTATAAAAAAAATTATAGATTTATAACAAGTCACAGCAGTTTATCATTGTGAAACCTCTTCAAAGAGCTTTGATTGGTCAGCCAGAATTGATGCACAGGTTCCAATGGAGTGTTCCTAGGCCAAACTTTGCAAGGCAAGAATTTGGTCTAGTTCTCTTGACTAAAGATATACAACTCTCCAGTGAGTTCTGGGTCCCACGCTGCTTCACAAGTGTCCTGCGAACAGAATATATCCAGAAAACCTGCAAAGAATGACAGACCTCCTCGCCTAATCTGAGTCTGAGCCTGGTCACCCGTTACAGTCACCGCCTGCACATCCCGGGGGCTCGGGTTTCTGCTGCACTTCGCCCCTTACACTCCAGAACCCCGGACAGCTCCTGCTCCAGCTCCCTTCTGATTCAGGACGGTGGGCAGCTCCTGCTCCAGATCAGATTCAGAAACCTGGACTCCAGTATATTTCGTTACACTTAGAAAACGGTTTGCAGAGTGGCATTTAAGTTAGCTATAACATTTTAGTTGGGGATTATTTGGGTTAATAATTTGCTCTGTCTCATCCAGCATGCATATTGATAAAATCCAGTGTTTTTGTATTTCATCTATCACACGTCTCTTTATATCACTCCCTCTTTCATCCCTAGACCAGCCAGAGTTGTAACACCACCTTATTAAGCAATTACAGCTGCTTATTTTTATCTTGTGACCACATGTGTGGGATGGAACGTGAACAAACCAGTAAATTTAGAGTTGGAAGGCAGAAGACAGGTGCAACACCCTTAAACCCCTTCACTGATAAAGCAGTAACCACTGTCCTATCCAACCAGACCTCAGAAGGGAAAGGTTAGCTGCATATGATGGTCTTTAACGCACACTTAACCACCTTCTCCAGTGCCTGCTTTTCTGCCGCTATGCACTTCCCATACCAGAGAGTGAGACAGGTGGTCAGTGTGGTTTCCACTGCACATCTGTGGGTGGTCCTGACTCAGGATGTTGCCGCTCACGCCTTCCCGTTTCTGTCTGTAATGACAAAATAATAAATAGTTACTAAATAGTGTCACATTATTAATAAAGTTACATTTATATTTAATTGTTGTTAGTATACCAATAACTTTTTTTAATTTTCTGAATTTTCACACTTCAACGTGTTCTTTTTTTTTTTAATTCACTGAATGATTTGTGGTATGGGCAAACCCCTACAAGTAAATGTCATGAATCTTAACAAGGTCATTTAATAAGTCAATGACGTAACATTTACTCATTTTTAATCAATGTAGGCTTTCATGTCTTTAAAAAAACTGCAAAACAGGACAGAGACGTCTGACACTGAGTGAGATTGCAGTTTTCACAGATGGAGAACACACACTGCTGGTAACTAAACACCTATCACTCCGAACCATAACAGAGCTCTAGGGTTGGTAATTTAGGATGAACAAAGCCTTTTCATGGTTGTAATTGCCTGGTTACTATGCAGCAGCAGAACAGAAAATTACATAAAAAGGACAGAAAGGGATTTGGTGGGTGCAAATAACACCATCTCTTTCCCTTCTGCAGTGTGCACTGTGTCTTAATAACTGTCTTTTTATAGCAAGCATAAATATTCACTAATTGCAAACACATCATCTTGGAAATGAACCCTTGGTGTGGAAAAAATGGATTATTGTTGTTATTTCTTGCAGGCATGCAAACTTTGTGGTTCACAATGAGATTATGTTATGCTATGACTCAGAAATGTTTTTGGGGAACGTTTATGGACTCTTTGATGACTTCAAACAGAGAGCTGATGGAGTTTGAACAGCAGGTCTCACCTGCTGTGCAAGATGGTGGCCAAGAGTACTGAGAAAATATGAAGACAGTATTGTTCCTAACCACTTGCGATCATATTCAAAGGGCCACAGCAGAGTCACAGTAGAACCAGCACATTTTATACACACCATTTCATATTATTCATTATTAAAATACTTCATTTTCAGTAAATTTCCTTTTGTGTAAATCAGTCATCTGTGTGTAAAATCTGCTTAAAAACATTTATTTCATTGAAGCAGACAAGCGCTGCATTATTCTTGCCCTTTATGTTTCCCGCTTTGATGTTTTGCTGTATTGAGCAGGAAATGAGCCGTGGATTTAATAAACGGGCTCATGCTGAGGCTTTGGGTTCTGTTTAAACACCACTCTGGATTGTGTTTAGGTAATATAAATGTTCTGAATGCAGAGCTCGGATTAACCCACATCGTGTCAGTTATGGAGAGTTTAAGACACAAGTCAGTTGCTCACAAACTAGGTCTTTTGCTCCATCAGGACCCATGAAGATCCTCAAATGCAGACGTCTGCAAATTTGGCGATGGGAGTTCCAACTTCTTTCAACAGCCCATGTGAGCTCAGGTGTGTTGAAAAGCATGTACAAACAGAGGTTTTATTTTGAAATCGTGTCACCCTCAGATTTTAGACTAAGAAAGATGCTAAACACCAGCCTGTGTGTGTGGGTGGCGGATAAAGTAATCTGCAAGACTGTATTAACATATAATAAAATAATATATGAAAACTACAGAGCATGTGTAACAACTTACCGGCTTTAATAGTTGCTAGTGTTTACAGAGCAAATTAAGGGGAGAGGCTATGCCTTCAGGCAGAACACTGAACCTTACATTACCCCTGATTTGCTCACTGGTGTGTGACTGCATAGGGAGAAGAGGCTCTACATGAGCGGTGCATATATCAGTAATAGGAAGTTCTGTTCGTGTAAATTATTTAAAGAGACACTGACTGGAAGGAGACTGTGACTTGATATGACTCAAAAGACACAGATCCTGACTAAAGGGACTTATAGGCTCTCGTAAGCACAGCACAAAACTAGGACTCTAGCATTTTTATTTATTTTCATGTTCTGGGGGAACCAGGGGATCTGTTCGAGCTCCAACAGCCCAGAAAGAGGCTCCCTGTTCCCGCTTTCTCCACATTGATCTCTGGAGTCCCAGGGCCCACGGCCAATCTCCAGAAGCCTGGAAGGAGGTTCAATAAAAGTTCTGAAATCCTAGACCCTGCGGTCAGATGCCCACAAAGTTGTTCTCATGCTGGGTCGGGATTCGTATCATCTCTCTTTGTGTCATGATAGGAGAGGAGGTTTGACCCAGGATGCAGAAGTACCTGGAACGACTCAAAGGCTGAAGAGGTTTTAAGGAGAAACAATTCCTTTATTTAAGGAGGATGAGCTGAAAAGTCCAAAGCACAAAAATAAGACCAACACTAAAATCTTGAAAACTCAAAATTAACAAAGCTCACACATGAGCAGGGATTGGAGAGACTCGAGAGGGGACCGAACAACGCAACACATTTGACAATGACCCAACAAACACTGAAGGACAAGCCAGGCTTTTAACACAGTGGAAAGCAATCAGGGGAACAGGTGACAGGTGAAATCAATTAACTACATGGGAAGGGAAAACCAAGCAGAGGGGAAGATAACATAACCTATAAAACACTAAATAACTAAACCTAGAAACTAAGGGCCAAGATGAACAACTAATGACAAGAGGAGTAAGGGAGACTCATTAACAAGTGGGGAAGGACACAAACACTAAAGGGAACTAATGAAAAGCTGAACCTACAGAAAATAACACTACAGAGGGGTGACTGGAGAGACCTGAGAAGCTGGAAAACACCAGGAGGCACATGAGGAGGACACAGAGGACAAACAGGAGGGGGCTGGGGACCAAGGGGACACAGAACATGACACTTTGGTTCTCTGGAGCTCCATGGATCTGATGACCACCTCAAACCCCAAAGTTGCAAGTAGGTTGCTATGCCGCGGTTGAGGTTGAGGCGTTCTCCTCCTGGTTCTCTGAAACTGCTTGGGCCCATGGTCAAGATCCATAAGCTTAAGAAGATGTAATGTTTTTCAGCTCTTTGCAGGTCAGAAGGATGGGGAGAGATGTTCAAGATGGTCTGAGGAACAGACTCCCCCTTTCTCAATTTTTTTTTTATCCATTTGTATTTCTATGGCATTGTCTTTGTGTTGCTGTGTTTGTGTGTTATTTGTCTCACATTGGCATTTTGCTAAACCCAATGTATTTAGGGCCTTTTTGTCGGTTCATTGATATAAGCTGTCCCATTCAATCAAGTAAATCTAATTAAATCAATAGCTTCTCTGGTTCTCTGAGGCTCCAGGCAATAAACAATCAGCTGGTCACTCCACCTAAAATCTGTGCAAGTGACTACTTGAACACAGTAAAGCCCCCTTCAGACAGGCCATGAAAAATGGAAATGTTCAGGACTCTGTCCTTAAGACCTTTGTGTCTGAATACAAACATCCGGATAACCTTTTCCATAATTAAACCGGACGAAGCCCCTAGTAACAGGACAGGACTTGTCACGGACAGGGTCGTTGCTTCAGACTGGTGGGGTCAAGTTCTGGACAGGGAGGAGGGGGAGGAGGAGGAGACCGGGGGATGCTGTGCGCACCTAGTCAGCTCGCTCCTGTAGCATGTGGCTAACCATGGCAGCTCGCCTCCTACGGTACCATCTCCTAGACGCGCGACGGAGCACTTCACACTGCTTCCGTGATTCCTTTATTAACCATTGAGCTTCATCATCCAGGTCTCTTCTCCCTATGCAGTCACACACCAGTGAGCAAATCAGGGGTAATGTAAGGTTCAGTGTTCTGCCTGAAGGCACAGCCTCTCCCCTTAATTTGCTCTGTAAACACTAGCAACTATTAAAGCCTGGACCCTGTCCGTGACAAGTCCGGACCTGTTACTAGGGGCTTCGTCCGGTTTAATTACGGAAAAGGTTATCTGGATGTTTGTATTCAGACACAAAGGTCTTAAGGACAGAGTCCTGAACATCTCCATTTTTCTTCATGTGCGCAGAATTATGCTTAACAA